CATTCGACCAATCGTGGAAGGCTGACTAAAGTCACTGGACCCTGGGAAAGTAACGCCAAGCTCCCCGTGTGGTCGCCATCTTGGTCCATGAAATGAGCAATTTCTCCTTGACCCCTCCATTCTTGGTGAGCCGATCTAGATTCGCTGGTGACGGGTAGCTTTATGGAGTCGTTTTTTGTATGCCGAGATTTTGCTAACCACACACCGGCGAAACAAGCTTACACTTTCGTAACACCACCAGATGTTGTGTCGGTGCTTGTAGGCACTGAAAAATAAGTTTACTGTCTTGAAATACGCAAGAAGAACAATATAATTGTAAGAGATCCATAGACATCTGCATGATTAATAAGTTAATCGCACACAAAGTGCCAAAGACTCTTATATTGGCGGGGAACGCTTCCAGAACGATGACGCTCCATGGTGATCTTGGCGCGGCTGGTTTAGAACGACCCCCTGGAAGCTTCGAAGATTTAAATGGACCAAGATGGCGATTTCCATGGCGACCCAGACCACGCCTTGCGAGGTTCAGGTCGTCTGTATGTTAGTATCCGTTCGTGTCCGGCTAGCAGGTAGGGAAGGCAATGGCGCTACTTTCCCAGGATCCAGTGACTTTAAGGCTGACCACAGAGACGCGTTTGATCATGAATGTCGCCAAACCATGCAAATAGCGAGCCCATTTGCGCGGCGCGTGAATGAGCTCGCGCGCTTCGCGGCCTTTTGTAGGGTGCCTACTTGTCTGTCTGTCCGAGGGTGAAGACATTCATTATTGCCCCGAATCTGTCAGCGCGTGACACTCTCGCGCACTCGGTGCGTGACTTGGGCGGTAATATGGCGTCTATGCCCTAGCCAAAGCTACGAGCTCGAACTGAGTGACACTAGAGCCACTCTATATGGCAGCGTAGCTGCCAGAGTAGCGACACGACGCAAAATTATCTAGATACACGACGTCAGAAGCGCCTATAGTGATCTCCATTTTGGGCCTGGGAGGTTTCTATGGTAACCGTACTGCTAGCGACGCCGGGCGGCAACCTTTATCTAGTTGATATCTCCATTCGTTCATTGAAAAGTGGTAAAAGACCTAAAGGACGCTTTGCATGGCGGTACGGCACGGGCCTCCGGAACAGCGGTGCCTGTTTCTTCTGTAAAATGAGACGATTTGCAGCGTGCACGGACAAGGAGAGTGGTTTTCTGCGCCGCCGGGATGGCGTCGGCTTCGTGGGACGAACGTACCGTCCTTGTACTTTCGGACTTCGCTCCTATCAATCAAAATCCAATTACGCCGGCCACGACAGGACCATTGCCTTGGGACATGACTGCTGCTCGACTGCCCCATAGTAAGAGAATGTATGTTTAGCACCATAATTCTTCAAGATCCAATCATTCATTCAAGATGAGATTATTTCACCGACTGGCGGGGAGCGACGTCAACGACGGTATCAACCTCGTTTTGTGCGATGAACAGTCGACGGGGTTAAATCAAGAAGGACAGCACGGTGGTCTACAGAAGATTGTTAACGCCATCAAAAGAGACGGGCGCCGGATATGAGGTGTTCTTGCCGACAGGCCAAGTGGTCGTCCGGAAGTTTACCGGCATGAAAAGTGTCAATATTTTCATCTGGTGTAGCACGCATACCCGTGTTAAAGGGGCCATGACATGATTCTTTAACTTCTTCTTTCTTAGCTTTAATCCTCAACCACGGTGTCCTCAACTCAAAAGAGAACAGTGGAATCACGCGGTCGTGACATGCTAGGGCACCGGTGCGATGACCCCAAGGTTCCACCGTGCTTTTTAAGCACACCATAGAACTTATCATTCACAAGTGCACTCATGTGCACTCTTTGGCCACGAACGCGAATTCAAATATTCATCGACGAATTGATTGTTGACGAGCGCATACGTCCGACTGACGCAGTTTTTGTTACAAATCTGTGAGCTAGGGTCGGCTGACGTCATTTTGGCTTTTGTAGGCATTGCAAAGAGAATATTTAGAACCATACACACATGATGATAGCATCATAGCACACGGACATTAATGAGTACAAAAGGGGTCCAGCTACAGAAAATAAATATTACACCCATAAAAAATAATTGTCTGTAACTTGTTAATTACAAAGACAAACACACCTCTGAGCATATAAATTTAATAGTGTGCGCTGATGCATTCTTATAGAGCAGGTCATTTCATATACGTCATTTGAGCAAACGCCAGCTTGTCACTTGAAAAAAAAAAAAAAAAAAACACAGCTATCAAATGCAAGCTATTGCAACGAAAGGACGTTTATCAAATTCTTCAGAACTGTCAATTCGTAAAATTGTCGATTAGTACAAAAGGTTAAAGGTCGCAGGCGCTTCCTCGCTTAAGGTTGCTGTGATTATTCGGTGACCCAGGGCTGAAACAACTTCCCCTAGGCCCTACACACGACTTATACCTTTCGTTTCGATTCTCAGAAATTCCAACATTCAAAGGGAGCTAGAAAATGCGAAAATGTTATCCTAAAAGCTATATCGTAAGATCATTAATTAGTAGAAAACGTAAAGATCGCATGAGCTCACTCGCTAAAAGTTTATGATTACGGGGTTACCTGGGGCTGAAACAACTTCCCCAAGGTCCAACATGCGACGCATGCAATTCGCATTGATTCTCAGACATTCCAACGTTCAAACAAGGCTAGGCGTATGCGAAAATGTCATGCAAAATGTCTTATCGATCCTCGAACACATCCAGGAATACGAGCACCGCTACGGCGATATGACTGATATTGTCGCACAGGTGCTAATATCCAGAGCGATCTTGCACAGAAAAGGTATAAAGTCACATTCTTTTAGATCTTCACGTTATACCTGCGTCAGAGAGCACGAAGAAGTCCGAAATCGTCGGCAAGCAGCGGTACATTACGACTACCGCGCACCGAACAAACTCGTATCCACCAGCTCTGGGCGCTGCCATCTTACCGGTGACATCACGGCTCTTGCGAGGTCACGTGACGAGTAGTCACTCGGTTGCTAAGGAAACCGAGCCAGCTCAGATCGTTGCTATGGTACCGCGTGTGACCAATCACGGTGAGAGGCGGCACAGGGAAAAGCGTGGCGCTACTCTGGCAGCTACGCTGCCATATCGAGTGGCTCTAAGTGACACCAGGCTGCGCGCGCTTCAAAATGCATAAAAAACGATTGGCCGGAAAAATGGCTGAGATGTCGCTACTCAAGCAAAAGCGCGCGTGCGTATTAAGGCACTCTAGCCTTTCCAGTCATGTAGCGCCATCTCACGGTCTGTGTCAGAAATTAGAGAAAATCTTCGGTAAGGAGTGCTGTCAAGGCGCCGTTCTGCTTACCAGTGTTAGAAAGCATAATGCACACAGTTGAAAACGAGCGTGTTGGTTAATAGGTACAAAACTTGAAAGTTTTGTACCTATTATTTGTACCTATTTGTACCACCGACTCAGAGAACATAACTTGGAAGCATCAAAGGCTTCAACTGAGTCGTATCACCCCATTGTCGTTCACAGCCGCACATGCGATGACTGTACACCTCATTTTTCTAATACTAGTATACTGGGCGGGCACAATAACAGATTTGGGAGAGAAATCATCGAGTCATTTGCCATGGGGACTGTTAACAACAACATTTCTGCACCTTCATTATCATTGACAAAGACAGAGGTCGAATTCTTAACACCAGAGATGACTAGAATATTGACACCTCGTCGTGACGCTACAGCTTTTTAAACTTTTATATTTATAGTACAATTCCCCTTTTTGGACTGCATACAAGAATAATTCCGCATTATCACTGGCAATGACCAAGGTTAATTCTAAGTAACCGAAAATAACTGGATTACTGATGCGCTTTTTAAACTTTTCTTTTAGTGTATTCCCTTTCCTTTATAACTAGTATTTCCTTTCCCTCTTTTAGAACGTTGAGACCCTTGGGGGGCGGTTTTATCGTTGTGCCATTCTATGTTGTTGCTAAATGAAAGATGTCCTGTTCCTGTCCTCGTCCTCTCTGTTTTATACTTTCAAGTTTTGTACATAATGCACAATCTATCGTTAATCGTTTCTTCGGTTGTTAGTTAACCATTTATTGTGTCCTCTCGACGCATATCTGTGGGGAGAGAAAGGCGGGGGAAGGAAGTAGGGCAGAGCACAGTAAGGCAGAAGTCGATCATTGCAAAGGTCTATGCGCCCTTCTAGTGCTTATCACCCAGGCGACGAATAACACTAAGCTGTGGGCACATGTCGTGACTGCGCCTGATGTTCTGCAGAAGAGAGCTTTTGCGCATGATTGAAGCGCGTTCCACAGCTTAGTAGAGAAAAACGGCAGTGCGCAGAAGGCGACTGCTGGAACGATCTAAACGTTCCAACGTGTCTTCTTTTAGAGCGTAGCTTTTAGGCGCCCGTTTCTGTGTTTCGCGGCGACGGCGTCGGCGTAACCGCACTGAATTCAGCGGGAAAGTTGACATCACCTGACCTTAATACCAATTCAATTCCCCGCTAAATTGAGAGAGGAAATTTAGTTTCTTTACATTTAGCGCACAAGTTCAGTTTTTGCGCATGATTTTGCGGACAAATTCAGTGTCGCCGCTAGATTAAGTGAAAAAATTGACTTGACGTGACCTCACCACTTATCATTTGCCGCTAAATTTATAGGGTAATTGAACTGGTGATGAGGTCACGTGACGTCAAGTTTCCCGCTAAATGTAGCGGAGAAACTGAATTTGTTTTTAGGTGACGTGGCAACAAGTCATGTGATTTCAGTTCCCCCTCTAAATTTAGAGGGTAAACTGAATTGGGGGAGGAAGAAAGAGGAAGGGTGTAAGAGGAGGAGGAGGGAAACAGTAGGGAAGAATTAGGGGAGGGGGAGAAGGTACAGAGGAAGAGGAGGAGGGCATACCCTCCCTTCCGTACCCTCTCCTCCTCTTCCCTCAAGAGTTGCACTCTAATTTCGCAATACAGAGATTTGTGAACGCCTTTCATTTCTCCTTTCTCTCTGCTTTTTCAGGTGAACGCCACCTGGAAAGACGGAGACCTGTTCCTCAAGGACCCGATGTACAACAAGAGCATTGGCCAGCAGATCTGCGAGAGCCACAGTCAGACCATCGCCAGTGTCTACGTGGGGCTCTTCGTGTCCTGCTTCAGCCAGCTCCAGTACACGGGGCTCAAGAGCAAGATGAGGCTGTGCTGCTACAGCAAGCAGCAGGTCGCCTGTCCGGAGAACCCCGCCGCAGCCGTGGTCGTCTCGGACGCGACTCGGAGAACGACATCGACTTCGAAGCCGAGCGCTCCGCCGCCGCCCCATTTACGTAAATTCTCGGGCATTAGAAAAAAACATAATTGAGTATAGAAACGCGGGTTAAAACAATGACTCGTTGGATATATCAAAGAGACTTGATGTGCATCCTAAGTGACGCGGGTCCCGGTTCGGACTTGTCTATTGCCTGATAGGTTGCAATGTGAGGCTGATTTAACGCTGTCTTGAGCGAGAAACAATGATACTTTGAGAACAAACAGAAAAAAGGGGAAAGGGGATGGGTGTAACGCAAAGGAACATTACAGCGGTGTTTCACTTTAAGTTGCAATAAAGGTATTTATATAGTTCAGATTCTCTATAATATGTATGAAGCCCAGGTAAATATATTGTGGGATATGCAGTGTTAGTGCGATGTATACCTAAATAGACTACTTCCCTAAATCCGCAACCGTTCACGTTGCAGTGCGTATGTATTTTGCTTTCCACCCAATCGCACAATGCATAACGTGGTATTACGCCGCAATGAGGCGCAATGAGTTTTGGGATAAGTGTATTGGTGTGGCCTCAGATATGCACGATATTTGAGAAGTTTTGAAGCGATAAATCACGACATTACTTGCAATTGCGGCACAAGCTCTTCACTTAAAATGGACATTTTTTTTCACTAAACAGCGTACGTGGACTTTGGAAATCGTTTAGCTCAATGAACTGCTATGTTTAAGTCCCATTCATTTTGCGTGATAAGTAAAAAAAAAGTAGAGGATAGACGCAAACACGTATTGACAAAACCAATCGAAGTGTGAAAAGGGCTACCTTTTCAATTCAAGCTGAAAGTACTTTTGCAGATTTTTTTTTTTTTTTTTCATTTCGTTTTTCTACATTATATGTTACGTAGCGCGCTGCCTCAATGCAGCCGTTCCGGGGTCGTTATATAACCATACAAATACGTTCCAACAAACACAACAAAAAAAAAAAAAACGCTTTTTTTTGTAGCTTTATATTGTTTGTGTTTGTTATTTCTACCCTTCCCTTTCAATGATTTCTCTTCGACGTGACTTCTTGAAGCTGTATATAAAAACGCTCAACACATCTTTTCACTGATTTTCACTGCTCCTCAAAAAGAAACGGAAGCCTCCGACGTACAGATGTTGCAGACCCAATGAAAGCTAAAAGTTTGTTAATGCCACAAACCGACTCGGATGTTAAAGCGACAGAGGGTCTTTTCATCGCGGCCTTCGCCACGCTTGTTTTATTTTTTTAAACCATTCAATCTGCTTCATTGAAAAAGGGAAGTCTTGTTTACCCAGTCAAAATGTCGGACCATCCCGGTCAGACAATCCACGCCGACGGACCGTTCTACGTCACCGTCGTGGATTGCTCGGGCGCTTTAGACATGAGCTTAACGTGACTTGAGTGTGCTATTCGCAACGAGTGAGGCGAGAAAAACACGTTCCTAAATAGAGCGTTTGATGTGTATTTAGCGCGTTCTTTCAGCAATGACTATTTTATGCCCTAGCCCCACCAGGGTGAGAAACAGAAACAACCGACACCGACCAACCTCAAATACGTGCAGCGTGCACGCGAAGGTACCTCTAGTAGGCTTGCAGTCTCTCGGTGCTAATAATGGCTGTGTTCCAAATCTTACCCAAATGGATCCGAGTTACTCCGATAGATGGTATCATGTGACAACACAGATTGAAAAACGCTGGAGGGGGGCAGGTTTTACAACGCCAACATACAAAACATTTACCCTGGAGTAAGTTCGAGTAAATTTTGGAACACGGCCAAAGCAAGCACGAGCGATTGCAAGCCTGCACCACAATACTGAAACTGACTCAGTTTCAGCCGCTCCCTATTCCATGTCATGGTCGGAAGTGGCGCAAGGGGCGATCGTAAGAACTAACGGCGCTGCAGCGGAGTGTTGCGCCTTCCGTCCCGCGCGTTGCCTGCTTTTCAAGAAGCATCCAGCTTCTCCAAAACATGACAGAAAATGTCCCCGAGCATGGGGCTGTTGTCAATTGCTAGCTTTTGTTAGCAATTGCTTCCAACAAGAAACAAGTGCCTCTTTACCGTTGATAATGTGACAGTAGTGCTTGAGGACATCTTCGTCTTCAAAGTGCGCGTCACCAACTTTACACTTTGCAGTAGGTTTCCTGCTTTTCTGTACAGAGCTTGTCCCCACCTTCAGAAGTCGGTAGGGCCTCTCGGCGCAAACGAAGCAGAACAAGAGGAGTGAGGCGAGCGTCTATCGCATACTCAGTAAAAGGCTCGTGAAACCGCTAGTGTCGCTGCAGTCAATACTCGACTGCAGCGACACTAGTTTTTGTGTCTGCTGCAGAACCCACGTTTCCAGGGGAGCTCTGAAATTGACCTACATTACGTTCATTCCAAAGGTGGAAGAAACATTGAGGTGAAGACTCTCTGTCGGACGCGGCGGCCACATTATGTACGGCGCACCGAGCGCTCTTCACTCGTAGGGGGATAGATGGCGCCCAAGTGTGCGATCCCTCCCAAACCGACCACTCATGTTGTTTCTCCCCAGCGGTGGTCCCGCATTCCCTCGCTCACCGCTACGTGTTGTACCTCACCACCGCCACGCCGCCACCAAGTCGCCAGAATAAGTAAATCTGTGATCTCTTCCTTCTCCTTCCTCTTCTTCTTCCTCGTCTCCGGATTAAGGCTCACCTTCGTGCACGATGGTGGCACGTGTGATCAACACAGCACTAAAGCAAAACACGAGGTCAGCCACTGGCCGCACTCCACCACCACACTACCACGCCGCGAAAAAGGCGAGCACGCTACATCGCCGACACCGTGGCCGCCGAGGAGGGACGCCATACCGCAGCGCCCTCTGCGGCGGCGCGGAACTATCTACTCCTGATTTAAGACTAGCTCCGAACACGATCTGTTCGCTCGCTCCCCGCGGGAAGAGCGGCCAGAGTCGTCACCTAAATGTGTTTCTTCCACTGTGGTTCACCCTTAAAGGTGCGGTGCAACGTTATTCAATAAAATGTCTTACTTTACAAGAGTTTTCTGGCACTAGTGGGACGCAAGTGTACTCGCACCCAATGCCATGCACCAAGGAACCTCTTTGTTGCGTTGTAATTTCAAGGATAAAAGCGGGTGTTTTGTTTTAGTTTATCCCTCGCAATACTTGATGACGTAGCGTGGAAGTCGAGCATCCCCCAGTGACGGTATTTGAATGCGGCTCATAGATTGAAACCGAGCATTGCGTGAGTAGAGCGATTGGGGCTCTTGATATTCAATAGCTCGACATGCAATTGGGTACTGGTCCGTGTCCAAACGCGGCAATGATTACGATAATAGCTGAACCCTACCAATGGCTGGAACTCAGCGCGCAGAGCGTGTCCTGTCCTTTGCCAACATCTAGGCGTTGCTCTGATTTACATTGGCGGCGTACAATCGGCTCCAGACAACATCACCTAGATAAGCCGAAGGCCTCCGCATCTTGATCACTGTCAGATCGATCGAGGCCTGAGATTGGGCACCAGTGCTGCGTCAATGTTAGGCCGGTCTTCAATCAGCGCATCGAGATCGGACTCGGGCCCAACAGCCGCATTAGCGAAATCCGACTGTGATGACGTTTCACAGAGGGAGAGGAGACCTTGAGGAGGCTTTGATTATTCTAGGTTAGGTTGCTCCAGATCGCGTGGCCGCTTGTTCTGTCTGCGAGTGTAGGGGGTAGTGAAGGTTCGTTTTCTTCTTAGGATTGCGTCAGGGACCCGATGACGGGGAACGCCGATGGTGTCCGGATGTTGATGGTCTAAAAAAATAACTGAAAGGACTCCATCAGTGAAAGAGAAATAAAAAGAAACGTCTATTTACAGTACAGATTGAAAGGTGGCCCGACCGGCGTTCCCCACGGCCCTCGCGCGTCTCCCTTCTTCTTGTTCCCTTTCCATGTATCGCTCGAGCCACAGTCGCGTCGCTCACTTTAAAGTCATCCTGAGCGAAAAGAAAGACGAAACCGAAACTACAGCCACTGTACCGAAACCCTGCGTGTGTCGCGCCTCTGGATTTGTGGCTGTCATTTACGTTGACCTTCACACCTCCCCAACAAGTATAATTTTGGGGCCTCAATGTCACAAAATTATCACACACAAAAACAAAACGTCCGCCCGTCATACACTGGTCGCTCTGGTAAGGCGAATTTGAATGTGCCCGCCAAGGCTCAAAACACTCGTTACTACAAAACGTGCCCTAAGACTTGCATCATATGAACTAAAACGTGATAAAAAAAATTAACAAATGCGTATGCGGAACATATGCTCTTTCTAGGCCAGGCTACTTTCCTGACACACGCAACTGCCCGTTCAGTCAGACGAACCACAAAAAAAAATCTCACCAACTTAAAGTATACAATTCATTTATAAAGACACAGCAAAACTTCGGTTCGCACATGCGACGAACCAAAAACCATTGCTTGACAAAGCCGTCGCTCCTCTATGCGGTCAGTGTGAACTATGTGGACCTCGCGCTCCACAAGCTGGTCCATCTTGAAGGCTCTCAGCTGCGGTACTCGGCCCTCCACCGGGAGCTGTGTGGCCTTGGCCTGCTTCTCTTTTGGGCTGGGCCAATCCTCCTTCTTGACAGGTTCACCCTCGGCCACTTTGTCGGGGTCTCCAGCCTGGGTCGTGGGTGCCTCTTCGCCAGTCGCCGCCCCCGCCACCGCTAGGTAGCCATCGCTTGCACACCCAGCACTTGCCTGTCGACCGTCGGGCTTGCGGTCCACGGCCGAGGCGGACACCACCGAGAACATGCCCCGCAGGTTGTGACGCACTTTCTCCTTGATCCCGAACGCCTCGCCCCCGGCCGCGGAGACAGCCTTGTTCACCATGAAGCAGCTGCCCGGTTGCAGGTCCACGTGGGGCACCGCCGCCTCCTGCGGGTACTTGGCCTCGAGGTTGAAGGGCTTGTTCCGGTAGATGGTGAGCAGCTTGCTGAAGGGCAGCTGGTGCCAGCGGGGAAACACCTCTGCCCGGTTGTCCTATCCCTTGCCCGGGTTGTGGCACAGCTCGATGGAGTAAAGCTGGGCGTCCACCACCGCAAAGTCTCGCATCTTGAAG